AAATTCAGTGACCAAGAAAAATCTCCCAAACTAATGAACGCAGAAACTTGGAACACGTATTCATTAGGACCTAACGGTGATGTTTAGCTTGTGAAAAAATTTTAAATTTCAAATTATTTCGGTAGTTATATGACGATATGGGCCGAAATTCGCAGTGATCAAAGAATTTCTTCCAAACTACTGAACAGATTCGAATGAAATTTTGAATATAAATTTCTAACTACCAAATAGTGATTTTTGAGCTCGTAAAAATTTATTCGAGTCGGAGTCATGTTCTGCACGTGTTGTGTACAAATTGTCAAACAAATGTACGAACATACGACTTCGTCTTCGCGGACTGCCGCCCCCCAAATGCCCCTTTCTTCCTCACCGCCCCCCCCAGATCTTTCCACCGCCCCCAGGGGGACAATATCGTCCACTTTGGAACCACTGCTGTAAAGCTATATTGATGCCTAACATTCCATTTTCTCTGGTTCTTTGATTGTGTGAGGCATGAATGTGAGGTCCTTATAATCACTATTCAAGTTTCTTTCCAAGACTTGCTTTACCATTAGCTTTTACAGGCTGACACAAAAGACTAGAGAATTAAAAACCATTGTACATAATAATAGAAGCAAAAATAAATTTCCACATATTTTATTTAATTCATTTATTCAATCATGAATAAATTTTTCATGAAATTAAATGAATAACTGAATAAATTCAAAGCCTTGAAAGACTCCCGACATTCGAAAAACCGACCGACACTCAAGCGTTCCGTGTAAATGGGACACTCGAGTGCAGGTTATAACTTCCCCGATATCGAGAAGCAATTGCAGTTTCGATGGAACTGCTTGCTCCCTGCCGTGCTTCTCTTCCATCCAACCAGGCATCTGACGTTGAAATAACGTCGAAATAGTGCTGCTTAATCAACTCATAATCAATGTTGTTCCAACGTAATTTGCTTGGAGGGTTTGGTTTTCTTCTGCTGTACCCTCGGTAATCATAGGTGGCCATCAGGCATATAACGTTGAAATAACGTTGATTCAACGAAATCAGCTCGTAATCAACGTAGTTCTAACGTCGTTTGCCTGGAGAGTCGTTTGCTTTACCACCTCTAGTTTTTGAAAAATCAAATTCTGGTCATGTACATATTCAATATTTGACTGTAATTAATTAATATAAATTAGGACAATTTCAGGTTCAGTAAAATAACTATGGTTAATTTAATCGTTGTTGAAATGATCTGCACTTTACATTGAAATAAATGAATGAGAATTTATTCTATAGTGATGTACCTTTTACCCGTTTCTGAGTCATCCTGTTGGTCATTCTCAAATTTTGATACGGATTTAGTACCAATCTTTAAAACATTTGTTAACCTATATTGATTTGTAATACTCAAATTTAAATACGGATTTTGTACCAATTTTTAAAACATTTGCTTGAATGCCACGGCTGCTTGAACGAGTTGAACGGTGTGGATGGTCTTTGCTGAGAAAATGTCATCGTCAGCGAAACTGTGACAGAACATTTGAAAAAAATCCTTTCCTGAAATTAGATTTGAAAGGAAGACGTTACTTTGAGACACTTTTGGTGCCGATAAACTTTAGAGAAAGAGTTTTCTTTCAAAATGCGGATTTCTAAGAAATTAATTCAAAAGTAGTAGCCAATGAATTGTAATCTATTAAAGTACACTGCACAATCGTGTACAGAATTTTGCAATTCAAGGTATAAAATGTACAATTGTGTTGAATATTGATCGCAAATAATATATTTATTTTTCTAATAAAATAATACCGTAAGTCTTCATAGGAAGCATTTACTTGGGATTATTTTCGGAGAATAATTCAATTTTCCGTACAACTAAGTATTATTTAATCGGCTAGAAAATTATAAAGTGCTAAACTTATTGAGCTTTATTTCTTTCGTAGGTCAAAACTTCAGTAAAAAGTTATTCGATAAGACACAAACCCAAATAAATTTTTGAATCCTTCTACATGGAAGACGCAAAATCGCATTTGACTTGCCATTTTCTCCCTAAATCCGACCCTTGGTTAAGACATGGGCGTCGTTGTCGAGTTTATTCACGAGAGAACTGCGCATTATTTTTATTACTGCAGTGTGAAGACATTTGCCAAGGCACAAAGGCAAGGCAAGAGCCGGAGAACGCCTTTACCTGTTGCTTTAAAAATTCAAATTTTTCATCCAGCCACAATGGAACAATTCAAGCCGAAAATTGTTGACTGACGAGGTTTAATTTTACTCCGCTTCAACCCATGAGCTTTGATCTGACCTGAACAGAGCATTAGAAATTCATTACCTGGCATTAAATGATTATATCGGTCTATTTGTAAGAGGAAAATAGGAGTGAGATATTCGAACATAATCAACTGTTTCTTTACTTTCTCTAGTTGGTGCAGAGAATGCATTCATTATCAACCCATGCCGTTGCAGTACAGTGAAAAAAAAATAGAAGTCGTCTCAATGCGGCGGTTGAAGAATTCATGGCCACAAACCACACTTTAGCGCCTGAGCGAAGAAAACTGCACTTTACTGCCCTTCAGACCCGCTAAAAAGCTCTCAGCAAAATTTGCTCGGTACTTTAGCTGAAGAAAACCAAAAAGATGAGAGCAAGCGGTTGGGAAAGTGTGTAGACACTGAGCACTTCGTGGAATCTTTGTTGATGAGAGACTAATATATTAATGACTGATACCCAGGAAGCTGACAGTCGTGTGCTAGTGGTGAGACAAGTGCAAAGATACTGAGCACTTCATGAAATCCTGTTTTATGGGTAACTTGTGTGTAGACGACTGATATCCAGGACGCGTGGCTTCACTTTCAACTGTTTTTATATATTATAGGAATAACATATTTTTGGAATACGATAACTTATAGCGATTTTTACGAAAAATACAACCGAGAGGCATGTTTGCTTCCGCGATTGAAGGTTTACACAGACATCAAATAAGTGTTAAGTTAAATAACTATATTAAAATGAGATCGTCACAGAGCACTCTTTAGGTATTTAGCTTAATGGGTGCTAAAACGGAATAATTTTCTTGGAATAGTCTTTCACTCGCGACCTAAAATTATTGACTTTCGAGACAAAGTCATGGTATTTCAGCGCTCCGAGTCCCGGCAATGCGATCCAATAGCGCGACCGACATTTGCAACGTGACAAACACGCGTCTCCTCGGCTTGACACCAAGGCATGTTTTAGCCTTCACATCCAATTCAATTATGCAGATTCACATGTAAATCTCACAAGTAAGCATGGAAATGTACGAGAGATTGGCGGCAGCGCTGGCGTAAAGTCTGCGGATCACAGACTTTACAGCTACTGCAACCGCGATCACTTCGGTGGAATACAGCGACGCTCCGCCTGTAGCGCCTGACTTTGTTAGGCCACGCAACATGAACTCAACATCAACATCCTGCTTGCGTTTTACCCTAACTTGTGGCTTGGTTATTACCCTAACTGATAGTTTGTTTTTCACCCTAACTATAGCTTGTGTTTACCTTAATTGGTGGCTTGTGTTTTACCCTAACTTGTGGCTTGGTTGTTACCCTAACTGATAGTTTGTTTGTCACCCTAACTATAGCTTGTGTTTACCTTAATTGGTGGCTTGTGTTTTACCCTAACTTGTGGCTTGGTTGTTACCCTAACTGATAGTTTGTTTGTCACCCTAACTATAGCTTGTGTTTACCTTGATTGGTAGCTCGAGTTTTTACTCTAATTGGTAGCTTGTATTTACCCAAACTGGCAGCTTGTGTTTTATCCTAATTGGTAGCTTGTGTTTCCCCCTAACTGCTGCTTGTGTTTAAATTAATTGGTAGCTTAAGTTTTACTATAATTGGTAGCTTGTCTTTGCCCAAACTGGTAGCTTGTGTTCTACCCTTATTGTTAGAATGTGTTTAACCCTACCTGTAGCTTGTACTTTACACCAACTGCATGGCAGCCTCTGCCTTGCCGTAATGTGAATCTCTTTTATACCTTCAATGACAGCTTTTAATTTACTTCTGAGAGTAGATTGTGTTTTTTACCGGAATGCTTACGTTTTTTTACCATAAGTGATAGCTTATTTTCTACCCTTAACTAGCTGCTGCTATTTTACCCTTACTTGCAGGCTTGGATTTTAGTCCAAAGGGTAGCTTCTGTTTTACCCAAACTGATAGTTTATGTGTTCAAACGATGGATGGCTTGTGCTTTTCGCTAGCTTGCACAAAACCTAATTCCATAAATAGTTGCTAGCATTCACTATTACTTGCAGATTACTTTTGCCTTGAATTACTGCGTTTGCTCACTCAAGATTTTGGATTGCGTTTCACCCTATAAATTGCAGCTCACGCTCTAACTTACAATCAAATAGTTGAGAGTGTTCCCTAGAGAGCGCTTTGTCTCGTATGTTAGCTGCTGTTAAGTGAGGTTGGTCGGTCATATATTAGCAATGAATTTATTATCTATTCTCGAAATGTTTGAAGGGTTCCTTGAATATTTGGAGAACATTCAAACAATATTGGAAATACATTTGTTGTAGCCGAAGATACATACATAGTTGGTTGACATATATAACGATTTGCCTGCATCACCTCTAACGTTCGTTAAGTTATACTTTATAAGTTGCTAAATTCTTTCATCTTGATGGATGTCAGTCTCTTATATCGGGACACAAATAAAACTGGGATTACGAACAGAGGAAATAAAATAAATGTATAAAAAACACCCATGAAATATAAAACAATTTTCCGGCGAAGATTAAAACTTTTTAGAATAGAAATCGAATACGACTTCTATTATCAAATTATAACTTGCTAAATATACTATACTATAAAACTAAATATAAAATATGCAATACTGAAGGTAAATCGAAACGACCGTCCACTCTGCTGCTTTCCTTTCAAACTTTAGCTGCATGGCAGAAATATCTGGCGACCACCGGAAAAAAAATTAGGCAAGAACAAACTTTGAAAATATCTGACAATGTGAGGGAAGATGCGCGGCAGGCCAGTAAACTTACCGACAACCGAGAGGTAAACATTTCTTGCAATCTTGTCCTGCGAGTTGACTTGGCATTTGTAGGCTCCGGAATCCCGAGGCTGAGTGTATTGTATCCTCAGGGTCCAGTCATCGGTCTCCTCGCTGTGTAGGATCTGCAGGACACAAGCGAGTCAGGGGCTCAAACGCTACATCAGCCCAGCCAATCTCTGGAAATGTAAATGATTAAATGAAAAAAAGCGCAAGGAATTTTGATATTTTGCCAATCTCTGGCAGTATCGAGGATTCAGGCACTGCCTTAACCCAACCAATCTCTGGCAATGTCACAAGGTTCACGTGCTGCCTTCACCAAACTAATCTCTGACATTATCAGGGTTTCAGGGGCGGCCTAAACCCAGCCAATCTCTGACAGTATCAGTGGTACAGTCCCTGCAATATCCCAGTTAATCTCTGGTAGTTTCAGGGGTTCAGACACTGCCTACTCTCTGGCAATGTCAAGGGTTCAGTCGCTATTCCAATTCAGTCAATCTCCGGCAGTGTCAGAAGTTCAAATGAGAACAGCTATGAAATTTTATTTTAGAGGTCTTAAATAAAACTATGTAATGCACAGATGAAAAGTCTTTTACTGAATGTATATGTGCAGTTTATTTATAAATATTGAGAATTAGAATTGACGGATTGTTTTCAGTGACCATCTAGTCCGTCTAATCATAGGAACCTGTGGGTCTGCCACTCTATCCGCTACAACGTGATATACTGTGTTATTAACAAAGTGAGAGGACAACAAATTGTATATATTAAGGCTTTTAATCGAATTTCCATTGCTTACGTAACTTATTTTCATTGTAGCTGTTTACATTGGAAATATTTATCAGCTTAGTAAATGATAACAGATGTACTCCCCTGGACGGTCAAAGTTATTTTTTGATCGGGGAAATTTTTCGATCATGGTCAAGTTTCCCTAGGGCCTGGATTCAAAGAACACGATTGAAATCTGCATGTGAATTGCCATTGCATGCATGGTCGCAGAAATGTCAATATATCGCTCCAAGCATCTCTTCTTCCATCGGGAAAGTTTAGGAACTCGGAGCATAGCAAGATAGATTGATATCGTGCCTCCAGTTTTTGGTGCACTGAGAACTGGTAGGGTGACCTTCAATGATGACCTGTAATGATGACCTGCAATGATGACCTGCAATGATGACCTGCAATGATGACCTGCAATGATGACCTGTAATGATGACCTGCAATGATGACCTGCAATGATGACCTGCAATGATGACCTGCAATGATGACCTGCAATGATGACCTGCAATGATGACCTGCAATGATTACCTGCAATGATGACCTGCAATGATGACCTGCAATGACGACCCGCAATGATTACCTGCAATGAAGACCTGCAATGATTACCTGCAATGATTACCTGCAATGATGACCTGCAATGATGACCTGTAATGATGACCTTCAATGATGACCTGCAATGATGACCTGCAAAGATGACCTGCAATGATGACCTGGTAGGAAAAAATGAGCGTCATCCTGCAGTATGCTACTTCATTGAGTTCGTATTGCCGGGTCCTCGATCGCACAATCTAATGCGAAAGAATCTCCGAACAACGCAGAATGCGCATCGCTAATGATGATCGCCAACAATTCATCATTTGTTGATCAGCTTAATTAGTATGTTGATTTTGGCTACCTCTACCAAAGAAGAATTTCTAAAGACTTCTCGTTGATATTGATGGCACTGATGTGTTTTTATTGTTTGATTCTGTGGCAAAAAATGTTTTGTGTAAAAATTTTTTATTCATGTGTCACCATTTTGATAAATAAAAAAAATTTCCTAAACAATTCTTAAACAATTAAACAATTCTCTTAAACAATTTCTCCGCAAAAATTTTCGTAAACAATACAACGAAAAAACTGAAAAAAAAACAAAGAAGAAAAAATCAAGTGATTATAAAGTTAAGAACGTGAAATTCCTTGCTCTCACGCAGTAAGTATCACTCCTGAGTATCAAAATATTAGAGCGAAAGAATTAAAAACCAATAAATTTTAGTTTAAAGTTGCAGAGCATTTGGTTCATCGTTTTCTTTACATTCTCACGTCTAATTAGTAATCATTTAGTACATTAATTACGATGCAATAGCTGAAAAAATGTGTCAATTTTCTCCGTAAATTGCAATTTCCTTGCATTAAAGCACAGTAAATTCATGATTTTGGAGGAATTGTTAGCAAAAATATTTTCGTATGCAGAAATATTTCTAATAATTGTTTACGTAATCAGATTGTTCTTCATAGACAACAAATTACAAATTACATAAAATGCATGATAATAAAATTTGTTGAGATATGAATGAAAGAAAAAATATTTTCACACAGGCAATTTTCTCAAAATATGCGGGTAATATTTTATTCATAAGGCCATGAATTAGGTACCGATAAAAAATACTAGGCCATATTATCCAAATAGTGACTTATTTGCAGCATGTAACTCTGACACTCCGTTATGCCTGACTAAACTGTGTCAGGATGACCCAGACAAGGTATACAGTTCATCGCTGTTAGGACAAGGTCTCACTTATTTTTCTGAGTGTCAAAAATATTTTCGGTTTGAAAAAAATTAGGGAAATTTCAAAATTAGCTATTGAATATTTAGTATCATATGGTTGCCACTAATATCACAACACTGTAAAAAATGCTTCAAGTTGACGATTTTCTAATTTGACAACATGGGCAACAATGAAAATTCGAAGGGATATCTGACACTGATTAAAATCTCATCATTTTAAAAGCAATATTACGCATAAGTTTGATTTTCCTTATATTATTATAATATTATTGTATTATTATTGGATAACTTATTAAAATGCAAATGCAAGTTCTCCGCTTTCTCGAGTACAGATTTACTGAAATGCTTTGCCTATGCTCTCTAAATAGTTAGAAATAAATAATCTTAAATACTTAAAACAATAAATAATAACTATCTAAAATTGTAATCTTATTTCAGAATTAATAATTCTTCCCAGGATTCATTCGATGCACGTAGCCACGGAACGTCGACAAGACGGGCGCATTGCGCACCGATTGCACCCGTGTAAATTCCAATGTAAATTCATGGATATCTGCATGTCTTGGACCCTCCCCAGGCATGTGCCTGCAGCTTACGAAGGTAAGGAATGAATACAATGAATACGCCATGCAGTATCCCAAAGAGAACTATTTTTAAATATTTTTTATTTGGTATCATGAAGTGTTCACTTATATATTGTTGTATGTTTTTGCTACGATGATTCATGTTTCATATTTGTTTTGTCGTTAACACCATCACCAATCACCACAAGTGGCAACACCATCACCATAAGTGCTAACATCATCACCATAAGTGCCAACATCATCACCACAAGTGTCAACACCATCATAAGAGTCAAGACCATAACCATAAGTGCCAACACCATCACCATAAGTGCCAACACCATCACCATAAGTGACAATACATCACCATAAGTGACAACACATCACCATAACTGTCAACACATCACTACGAGTGTCAACACATCACCATAAGTGTTAACAAATCACCATAAGTGTCAACACATCACCATAACTGTCAACACATCACCATAAGTGTCAACACACTATACTGTTGAACAAATTTAATAATTCTTATCTGGAGGAAATTGGCTAACGTCGTCTCCCCAGACTCATTCAATAAAAAAATTAATAACACCTCTATTATTAACGCAAAAAATGTATAAAGTATTGGCTGATTACTAACACCGATCTACCATTATAAAAATTCTGCGTAAAATGGGTCCTAATTTTCAACTATGTTGGCAACGGCCACATAAATTTCCAATTTTTTTATTCAGTCTTCAGGCTGCTAGTCAGGATCATTTCAACTCTCATTAAAGATATTTCCGCTGTTTAGGTTGAGCTCAGCCTCACTAATAGTTTATCATCGGCCGGGACGACGGAAAAGTCTAACAGGTTATTGCTGGCAATTTGCTCTCTCAATGGCATGAAATTATTTAAATTGCAACTCAGGAGCCTAAATTCCTATTAAGGAAAGAGCCTAAATTCTGTTGTAGAAGTACGTCTTCAGCCTGTGAAGAAAAGAGCTCGTTCAGTCTATTATAATATGTTGAAGCTTCAGTGAATGAACCAACCTGCTCTGAACGTTTGAGGAATTTTCCCTTCTTAATTAATTTCCCATTAAAATTTTCCCCTTAAAAATGAATTAAAATATTTTACTGAGGCCTTGTAAAAAATGTCCCATAATGCCGTTTATATTTTCACAGAGCTGAGGCCAGAGTTGTTTTTTGACTCTGGGGAACACTAAAATTATGGGTTGTGCAAAATTAAGTTGAATTTGTCCTGCGTACCTATATATCTGTTTATGGTAGTCGATATGAGCTTTATATCGATGGTATATGTTTTCAAACAGAATGGGCAACGAAATTTTATTTAAAATGCAACTTACCATCAAGTTTGAGTGCGATAGAAGGAATTAAAAATTAAAATATTTTCTAAACTTGAAAAGATTTATATATAATGTTAATTACAATTTCTATATGGTGCAGTTGGTCTGAATCTCTTATATGATGCTCTTATAAGAACAATAGCAATTTGAAGCTACTTATTCATACTCAAATATGATTCTACTAATCAATACTCTTATATGATGCAGCTTATTAAAATTCATAAACGATGCTGTAAATTAAAATTCATATATGATACAGCTAATTAAAATTCATGTATGGTGCAGGTAATTGAAATTCATATTTAATGCAGCTAATTAAAATTCATGTATGATGCAGCCAATTAAAATTCATATATTCTTTATTCACGCAGGAGCATAAAAAAAATCAATAACAAGAAAATGACAAAAATTTGGAGAAAAAAATACAAAATGCTTCCATGTGAATGCCCATATAAGCTAAAAAGCTTCACAGGCGACATTAGCGATATTACAATCGAAAAACAATAACATATAATGATGATGGGATAAGACAAAAGGGAACAGAAAGTGACTAAATTGAAAACATCCTGATGAAAACTAACCTTTAGTAAAACTGATATAAGAATAACTAACATGGCGACTAAAATTGATATTCAACAAAGGCAGTAACAACCCAACCGAAAAAAAGTAAAAACAACTAAGACGAAAAGTCGAAACAATGTTGACTTACACAATAATATTTTTCAAAAATATTATTGAGAAAAGTCAATTACCAAAAATCTTACGAAACTAATCAGAGTCAAATTAATAACGAGTAAGAATAAAATCGCGGAATTTAGTCTTCAAACTGAATTTAGAACAGTCAATTTTAAAATCATCAGGTAATTCATTAAAATATTTCACACAATTAAAAACTGTACCGTTTCTTTCAATTTCTAACCGAACCGGGGGTAAGTTAAAATGCATGCCCCTGGTGTCATGGGAATGTAGGGGAACAAGAGAGGCGAATGCAGAATTAAAAAGACGTTCATCGTGGAAGAGTGCCCTATTCATGAATTTTAAAAGCTGAAATTTGTACATATCATCAAGTGTTAAAATTTTCGACTGCCTATATAATACAGTAGTACGAGTCAAAGGGATATTGTTTCCATCATACCTAACCCGAAATATAGTACGCAACGATTTATTTATTAATGTGATGACCCGTTTTTTAGAATTAGAAGATACCCCACCCCATATGATTCGACAGAGCCTATTTTTCTTGAGCCACTCTGACAAATTCACAGCTAGCTCCGAAATATGATCACACGCTTCATCGTAGGAGCTCCTTGAAACATAGAAAACGGCATCGTCAGCAAAGAGCTTGCAGTTCACGTTAAAAGAACAGGCGATATCATTTATGAAAATGTTAAAGAAAAGAGGCCCGAGAACAGAGCCTTGCGGTACTCCAATCGTAATTGGTCTAATGGGTGATTTTAACTCGTTGAATGAAACGTATTGCTCTTTATTGGTTAGATATGATTGAATTAATGAATGAAAAGGCCCCCTGATGCCATAACGGTAGAGTTTACTTAGGAGGATTTGATGGTTTACGCAATCAAAGGCTTTTTGCAAATCGAGGAAAAGAGCAACACAGTAGTTTTTTGCATGGAATGCCATAAACAGGTCTTGGACTAGATAAAATATTGCCATAGTCGTGTTAGTGCCCTTACGGAAACCAAATTGATCATCAGATATTAGCGAAAATTTGTCAAGAAAATTTGTAAGTCGGCAGTGTAGAATTTTTTCGAAAATCTTATTAAGAAAAGGTAGAGTAGATATGGGGCGATAGTTGCACACGTTATTAGAGTTGCCGGATTTGAAAACTGGTATGACACGGGCACGTTTTAGGACATCAGGGTAGATTCCAGTAGACAGATAATTAAAATAATGATGCAGCTTATTAAAATTCATATATGCTGCTGCAAATTAAAATTCGTATATGGTGCTTATACCTGGAATCGCTCGTCAGCAGAATAGGTGACGTGAGCCACGGTGAGGATGTGCAAGTCTCGCATCCGCATCCACGTCACCTGCGAACATCAAGAAGGATTTCATAATTAAAAATTTGTCGCTCATTTTCAAAAAATTTTCATAATGACAAATTGTAAAATTTTGAAAGGAATTTTCGTGTTATATATGTGTTGCGACGAGTGAAAAGAGTTTCGTCGGGATGGAGATTTTGATTATATATTAAATGTGAAGAAAACCTAATGATTTCTCGTAGAAATTGAATTTATATTCATTTGGAATTTTTATTCTAATTTCATTACTGTATTTTATATCTCCGTCGAGGGAACCTAGGTTGGGCTCGAACGTCGCGCGACATCATGTTATTAGATAGTTATAATGAAATATTTTGTAAATAATGAATAATTTGTAATTGTTATTTTATTAAGAAACATCTTGGAAGCACCTGTTTTTTAACGAGATACTTAACATGGCTCAAAATTCCTATCGATAATTTCATGTGCAGGTACTTAATTTTTTTATTTTTGTAATATACGGCCGTACGTCATTCGAATATTTCAATGGGATATTCTAATGGGATATTCCAATGGGATATTCTAATGTAAGATTTTTTCGCAACTGCACGTTTCGTGAAAGTGAAGGGCACATCATGCAATATCGTGATTAAGTTGAAAAAAAGTTAGAAATATCTTCAAAGAGCATGACTCATGTTGCACCAATTTGACATCAAAGAGACTTGAATAAAATGCTAGGAGTAATTGCATGTGTGGATAGCATTCAATATATGTCGGGGGTAATGAAATGAATCCCACTCTAATGAAATGTCATATTGAGAACAGTCCGGACCACCGGACAATGAACATGAGTATCAAAGAAACTCGAAAATAAATGCAAGCGATGACAAGAAAATATATCAAAACTCTAAAAATAATCACGCTTGATAATGCTGTTAGTCACTCCTGAAATTACATTCCATCATTTGCACAAATTTCACAGTATGAGGCTAACTCCTGTTCGATTCTACATGCACACAGAAATCGAAGAAATTCAGGCTGAATTTCCGGACTCCCGGCGAACTATCTTTGTTCCCGGCTAAATATCCTAGTCTTAAAATATCCTTGTTCATGACAAACGTCTTTGCCGCGACTAACTCATTCAATTTAACGTCACTCGAGAACTCGAATATGAAATGTTAGCTCCGCGAACGTGCCTTGAACTTTGATGCGTCAGAAACAAGTTCAGTCACAAATCCTGTTAAGCTTTGCTAGGAAAATTACATGAATTTATTATACATTAACGCCGTATGAATTTATTATACATGCATTAGCGCCTTATGAAGCCATGATGGATTGTAAGAAACTACCCCTAGTTGATTATTCAAGTTACAATACATAGCTGATAACAGGTTACCAACGATACCTCATAGAAGTGACGCAAAATTTGCGTATTAATTGTAAAAAATTTACGAGTAGTAAATATCTCAATATTGCGTCACACAATATACATGTAATTATTACCAGTTTTAATAGAATATTTTGTAAATAATTTATTTCTTTTCGAAATAAAGGAGATAAGTAACTTTGTATATATATGTTTGCTTTGATATTTTGATGATTAATTTTTTACTTAAAAAATATCGAGTTTTAACATCCTTTCAATGATTCTAAGTTTCCCAAACAATTATTAATTTGCAGCCAAAGATAAATATTTTTATAGTTCAACGTCATGTCGACATCATATTTAACATGTCTAAGATTTCAATTGATAGTAACGATGGTGGAACCTTCGTATTTTCACCTGCCATGATAGAAGCGCGTCCAATATTCCCGGACGTCAGGCTGGAGTGATTGCCAATAAAGCCTGACAATACATAGTTAGTGGTGACCCATGTCCTGACAATACATAGTTAGTGGTGACCCAAGTCCTGACAATACATAGTTAGTGGTGACCCAAGGCCTGACAATACATAGTTAGTGGTGACCTTCATTGAAAATAATCTCTATTTTATACATGTTGATCATTAATCCCTAATCATTACCTTCTAGGTCACTCAAGTAATAGATGCGTAGCTCGTACCCCTGAAAAGATGTTAATGTGCATAGCAAATATTACACTTCAAGAGAATGTCCGTTACTAATAACCAATTCAAATTTGTGTGAAACTGGGTGATATGAACTCAAACTAAGTCGAATTAAACTTGAATATAACGTATTATTTAGTGATTATGTTGATACATATTTATACTGAACTGCTAACCCAGCTAGAAAATTAGACTTGCGCTCACTATGTCCCCAATACTCACGGATCTGTCCCCCAGCATATGCACCCTACAGGGCAGGTATGCTGGTAGTCCTGACACCACCGACACATTGGTGGGTGTGGCTGAGAAGTATGGCTGAGGGAGGCCAGAGTGTCTTGTGTATCGCGTCACCCTCTCGCCTCCACCGTCTACTGGTAACGAAAAAACTGATGATATAATTTGTTCAACACAAATAATGCAAGATAATTAAATTTTTTAATAATATAATAATATTAGGACTCGTTGCCCCGATGCAGTGAAGTCTGCGAGTGATGTCTTCACGAATCCATTCTCAGTCGTCAGATTAGCAAGCTTCTATTGTTTGTAAGGAGGGAACTGAGCCCGCACGCATTTTCGGACAAAAAAACACGGGTTTTCATATAACCGAGGAATGGCCAACGGTCGGCTAGAGCTAAATGGATCCGTCCAACCGTTGGCCATCTATTTTAACCCGCTCCTCATTTTAACATAACATAACAGTGACGTCGGCGCTAAGGAGTAGGCCTGGTGCGGCCTGTCGCCCATTCTTTTACTCTTCGTGCCTTGTTCACAGAAGATCAAAAATCGTGTCATTTGACCGGATCTTTTCATGACAGACGATAGTTTGAAATAGATACTTGACTTCCACCGGGTTCGATATGGTGCTAGGCATTTCAAATCTGAACATATATTTTTCCATAGCTTTATCTAGTCTGTTCTTGAACGCGTTCATACTCGGAGCGCCAACGATGTTGATCCCTCATCACGGCAAGAATCCGCGTGCGGTGACAGCTGAAAAATTTCCGACGTCTGTTTACCTCAATTCCTTCCACAACACCTTAATGGAAACTGTTAGTATGCGGGATTTCTACTCGTTCATTCGTGGCTCGTTTTTATCTAGCTTTTGGTGATAAAGATCCCCAACAAGGATTCAAGTTAAGAAATTCCGGGTGTACCGATCAGTGGTGAACAAATAGCAAAATCAATTGACACCTCAAAAAACTAAAAAATCGCACTATTCATAAACAATAATTTGCAAATTATCCTTCCGTCGTTGTAACTTTTTAGTGCAAAATTTAGTTATTTTTTGTGATTGTCTACAAATTATAAATAGCTTAATAAACAGGGGAAATTCTGATTTTTGTCTCACTCACGAGTGGAAGGAAGTGAATTTACTTAGTGAAAAAATTTCATAGGAATCAACCAAGCCTGTCCGAGGTCTCTTCCCATACTCTCCTTAATAATATAATAATAATTATAATAATATAAAACAAGAAGCAAAACCAGCTTTCAGGGAATAACATACGATACATTAAAATCCGAATGATGCAGGCCAAATTAAAATCAGCATTGACACTCTGACGCGGCTAAGCTCATCTACCAAAAATTTCGTAAGAAATGGCGATTTAACCGATATTGTTTCATAAATTCCTCACATGTTGATGTTACGGAGACAATCTTAACTCTCATACTCACAATTTTACACGTATAATCTCATACTCGTGTGATCATGCACTAGTACTCGTTATTCCTTATTCATACGACTATTCCTATGATCTCTGACTTATAGTCGCACTAATATATCTTTTACTCCTCTACTCATTCCCCTATTCCTATGATCTCTAACTCTTACTCGTATTAATATGATCTTTACTGCTGCTCTCCTACTCATCCCCCTATTCCTACATATGATCTCTAACTCTTACTCGTATTAATATGATCTTTACTGCTGTTCTCCTACTCATTCCCCTATTCCTATGATCTCTAACTCATACTCGTACTAATATGATCTTTAATTCCTGTTCTCCTACTCATCCCCCTATTCCTATGATCTCTAACTCATACTCGTACTAATATGATCTTTAATTCCTGTTCTCCTACTCATCCCCCTATTCCTATGATCTCCACCTCGCACTCTCACTCGTGATTTCTCCGCGTATGACCTCATATAAATGCGAGGCTATATTGCACTGTCACTTACTTGATCAATATTCCCCGGTTCAATGTTCGTTGTTCTATCAGAATCACTTTCAAAGTTAAACAATTGTCTGCACGAGATATAGTTGGAGCAATAAACTGGACGAGATGCAGTGGGAGCAATAAAGTGGACCAGTTACAGTTGAAACAATTAACAATACAATAGGCAGATTCATAAAAGTAAACAGACCTATGGACATGTTTCTGCGTCGCATCACCCATCTTTGTTAGTAACTCAGTAACTCTTGTGTATTGAACAAATAATAATAAAAATTGTACACGGTTTTAATAAGAATCCAATAAGAACATTCCAATACATACATGATTTGTATCAAAATATTGAAATTAATTCTAAATTAACAATTATTTTCAACTCCCGCGCTTTTCTTTATATATTAATCTAGCAGGATAACCCACCGCTGTAGCCTCTAGATTAGAAACATATAATTCGAGTGAAAATTAATAAAAAATATAATTCGAGTGTTTAAATATTATCCATTTTCAACCTTATGTATTCTATGCTTAAATACTTATTTCGTGTGTTTTCCACAATTTAATTATCAGGTTCCTGGTTTTGAAAGTATCCTGATAAATGTGAGTATAAGCTCTTCAAATAACAATCTAAATATTGCTGTTTGAACAACAATATACAATATTCAAACACTGCTGCCAATATATGTGTCATTAATTATTTTAATTAGGAAATTAGCTATGAATGTATAGAAAAAGAATTCTTCAAGTAAAGTCATCATAAATTCATTGCACTGCTCCATCAGCTGTTCAAACTTCATGTAAGTAAATAAAGTCGTTCTGTTGATTTAGCTAATATTTCTGAAATTTTAAACTGATGATGCAGCTGGTCTCCGAAGAATTTTCAATTAAATTATTGTAGGTTTACTTGGCATTTCCTTGCTTTTGATGGCAACAACTAAACTAACACATGTCCTCACATACTAAAAATATAAATTTAAAAATATATAAAAAATCTTTATCACAACAGTTGCACATTTTTTTCTCGTGTCCATTTAAGCTAAAGGCTCGAACGAAAGATAGAATACATAAAATGTTATCCCATGAAATTACCATCTTCAATTTTTTGAGAAAAAACAACAACAGTTTTTGATAACATGAACATCCTTGTATCGCACTATAGATAAACTACATAAAATTGCCAGTTCTATGAGAGCATAGTTAGCCATCGGTAACTTTACCATTATTTGAATGTTACTCAATTCAGCTACCGTTCACGTAATGTAACTCAAATCTGTTACATTCTTCGAATATTAATCAAATCTGTTAACGAATGTTATATAATGGTAATTTGTACCATTCAGTCATACGGTATCAGGAGCATATTTACTTTCAAAAGAGAGACGCGTAGTTTATTCTCGAATGCAAGGAAATGTTCTGCCGCCACATCAAAAGCTAATTAGTTTCGAAGCCAAAAAGATAAAAGGCGGGTTGATATGAAGGCAGCCTCAGATTTTATCTGCCCATCGCGCTTGAGGTAATTGCACGAACAATAGCAAATTGCGTCCCCTTAAGGCACTCGCTTGCTATATTTTATTCTCTATTTGCGCTTGGGCCAGCGAACAATTGCAGGGTTTATTTCCTGTTCAAGTTGAGTGTGGCAAAATAGGCTCGTGAATATTCCGGTAATAAGTTTTGAATTTTCGCCTCCATCCTGGCCGTTGAGCGCAGGCATCTTGGCCGTCCAGTGCAGGCATCACCGCTGCCCTCATCTAGGGCTTCTATCGCCGGCATCACCGTCGCTTTCATGTAAACATCCAGCGCCGACATCACCGCCGCCCTCATCTAGTCCGTCCTTATGACCTTACCTTATGACCTTATGACCTTATGATGAGTTTAGGACGTCGCAGTCCACGGTTACGCTGATGCGCCGCCTTCGTCGTCCTCCGTCTCCGAGTCGTCGTCGGATGTAACGTTGGACGTGTTCCGTCTATTAGCCCTCATTTGGGCACGCTGATGCAAGATGCTGTTGCTTGTCGCTTGCTGATTGTAGTTTCACATTACTGGACAGTCCGGGATCTTGCTCAACCACTTGTCCAGTTGTCTCTTGAATGTTGCAAGGGTAAACTCCCCTCCTCTCAGCGCTTTTGGCAAGGCATAAAAAGGGCCTCGGTCCTACCACGGACAGTGATCCCTCACGAAGAGTCTGTACTCTGGCCGCGGCTCGGTTATTAAATGGGGGAATCCTGCACAGTCTCCCCCTTCTTGCGTTGTAATATGTCCTTATTTTGGAGGTCTCGCTCTCAAAGTTGGGAGCCAGTCCATTTATCATCTTCCAAGTGTACAGTATGATACACCTTTCCCTTCTTCTCTCCAGTGAGTACAGTTCCAGTTGTTTCAGCCTTCCCCAGTAGTTCAGGTTCAGCTCCCTCATGCCGCTGATCCTGTACGTGAAGGTACGCTGCACTGCCTCCAGTTTCCGCACCGCACCCGCCTTGAGTGGCGACCAAAGCTGGCAGCAATACTCAAGATTGGGGAGCACGAGGGCTCTGAAGAGTGTAATCATTGGTGCTGCT